ACACGTAGATCAAAAGCATACAAACCCGCCGAATCAGTGTGAATACACAGGTCAGAGTGGCTCTTTAAAATAGTTTAAAACAGTTCATTGATGGACCCATGCATTAATAAGTGCAGGTAGCTTTAGAAGTACTAAAAGTTTTAAAATTCCCTCCCTGAGCAGCGACAGCTAATAGCTCCAGCGTTCATTTGGAAGCCATGTGGGGAATAAAAAAACATAAGCAGATTATAACTGGTGTGTTTTATGTCATAGACCAACACGTGAAAAAATATTTAGAGGCTTTGTCAACCACAAAGCTTATTTCAGGCGATTTAGCAAAAACCCATTCAAAAAAAAAACGTGGAAACCGGAAGTGCTAAAATGCTAACGGGAGACCTAACGAGGCAATCAACAGGAGAGCGCATGGCACAAGGAAGCATGCATCACATGCTCACACCAAACATGACTTGAACATGTAGCTAATGAAAACACTCATAAGCCACATGTTCACACAAAACATGACAACATGAAAGCACACGGCTTGTGAAAAACTCAAGCTGTGTTCTACACAGCACATACAAAACATGAAAGCTCACGAAACAAGGCGCACACACACAAGACAAAACAGGACAGAAACCAAGAAACAGACTAGACAGTCAAGTCCAGTTTATTTGGAGAAAAATAGAGTAAGAGGGGTAGCTAAACTCTTGGGTAATTACCTAATTATCTAAAGAAAAGGCATCAATGTGTCCAAATAATAATTTCAAGTCACAATTGATGCAGGTAACATCTGGGGTTCCCCAAGGCTCCGTGCTGGACCCATTGCTTTTTCTGTTTTACATTAATGACTTATGTGAGGTTTCCAATGTATTGAAATTGGTATTATTAGGAGATGAAACAAACTTATTTTGCTCTGATGACAATCTGAAAGAACTACTGGATACAATGGAAAAAGAAATGGCACTGCAAAAAAAAAAAAAAAAAAAAAAAAAAAGGTTTGAGTCGAATAATTTGAAACATTTAGATTTTGTCACCATAAAATTATTATCTTATTACATTTAGAGTACTGGAAATCAGGATTTGGTAATTTGAAAAAGTTTGTATCTCAGGGTGATCCAATTCAATGTTGCTATGAAAAACTATTGCATAAAAGATTAATCTGATCCTGGATAGCAAAACAAGATTTCCAACTTGGCCCAGATGATGCAGGAAAAATCTTTCAGATCAAGCAAACAACATGCTTTGCAAATATTTAAAACATTCAAATATTGTCTTTAAATATTGATTCATGTTTACAGTGTGTTCTTATGTTCCCTAATTAATTAGGTATGGGTTTCCTGTTTGTGTGTATTATATATATATATATATATATATATATATATATATGTGTGTGTGTGTGTGTGTGTGTGTGTGTGTGTGTGTGTGTGTGTGTGTGTGTGTGTGTGTGTGTGTGTGTGTGTGTGTGTGTGTGTGTGCGTGCGTGCGTGCGTGCGTGCGTGCGTGCGTGCGTGCGTGCGTGCGTGCGTGTGTGTGTGTGTGTGTATATTTATACCTGACAAAATAAATTTTTTTTTTGATGACATTTTTGGGGACCTGGGACCTCAAATCTTGATATAACATACTTTTTTAAAAAATGAAAAGCTGCTAGTACGGAGAAAGAGCAGAAAAAGACTAATTATTTCAACATATTACATGTTAATTCAATGAACTGGCTGGTGCTGTGTGTCTGTGTTCAAGATGACTGAAGACAATATTGACAGTCATAATTATTGTATTTTAATATTACTTAATACTGTACATTTTATTGTGGGAATGACAAAAAATGTACTTTAACTTCTTAAAATCTGATTGAAGAATGTAATTTTGTTTAATGCGTATTATATATTTTTAATTGATACAACTAGGTTCTTCACAAAACAAATGTGAAATATATTTTATTTTATATCTCACATCTGTCTTTATATAGCATGCAACTTGTTTGTTTTTCTTTTTAAACTTTTACAAGCTGTGCTGTCAACGACATGTGTCCAGATGAAGGGTCTGTGACTCAATGTATTGTCAAACTGTATATAAGTGCTCAAAATTTGACTTATTTTACTTTAGAACTTTTAAATCATATGGCCTACGAGAGCATATTTCCCACCATTCTGAATTTTGTCAAAGACATTCTTCTTGAAATTCATAAAATCCTCACCAAATCTTCAGGTAAGATAAAAAAAAAAATGCTTGGTTTCGCTGCCAGAAACTTCGGCATGCCGACACACTTTGCGCATTTAAACATGTGTATTTAAACTGTCTGAAGACTTTAACAAATAATGTCATCTCTATAATCAGTGATTTCCATGGATCATTACAAATGTTTTGTTTGTCTTGCTCAATTCTTTCCCTGTGCACACCTCTCAGTTTCCTTGTATTGTAATTGACAACACATCTCCGAGTTGTTTTTAGATTATATCTAATGTTGCTGTACGCAAGGAAGGAGACAAAGGGCCTTTTTTCTTTTTCTTTTTAATGGATTTAATTGGAAGAGATGCTTCACTATACTGAATAAACTTCATATGCACTTTCTTTTATTTTTGTGTACTTACAATGGCTGACGTGTGCCCGTGTCCGTTAGTCCATGGGTGCTTCTCAAACAGTTCCCTAGTTCAATCGTCAGGGCACTGATCAGAGAGTTGGACATTTTAACGTCTGCATAGCAGAATCGTTCCAGGGCACTGAAACATTCGCTCCCTAAAAAGTCCTATAATAATGTTGTAATAAATGGCTATAACTTGTTTAGGGATTGTTACATGTAGCCTAGTCAAATTTACATCTGGAAATCTAGAATATCCAAGTATAGCTTTCTACATGTTTGAGTTTTTCTTAAATCTGGTAAACTCATCCATTCTAAGACAAAAAAAATGGTTATTTAAATAAGATAGATATACCATTGATCTAACAGAGGGGTTTACAAAATCATCAACACATCTTTCTAACCTAACACATTCAGTATAGAGTGCCAAAGTTATGACGTCACTTTGCAGGATAACTCGGAAGTTAACAGGGCATGGGTTCCCTTGATTAAAAAACTATGCATTTTCCCCATAGACTTTTGGAAAATCTGAAAAAATAAGATCTGTGTTCAGCAAAGAGTTGTGACCCTTACACGTTTTGTCTATCAAGATAATCTTTACAAGTTAATCCAAAATGTATACATTTTGAAGCCTATATAAAGTTTTTTAAAAACACAAGCAGACACAATAAAGTTTAAAAAAAACTCAAGGAGGTTATAACTGTGTGTTTTATGTCATTGATCAAAACGTGAAAATATTTGGAGGCTTTGTTCACCACAGACCTTATTTCAGGCAATTTAGCAAAAACCCATTCAAAAAACCCATATAGACTTTAGAGCGAAGGAACTGGAAGTGCTAAAATGCGAACTCACTTCCGCGTTTTGGCCTACAACGTGATGTCATAACTTCGGCACTCTATAGAGGGTACTGTACATTCAACAACGAAACAGTACAGGACACAGGGAGAATACATGGGGAGACCAAACAAAGGAGGTAACGAGGGAGGACAGGTGGGACAAACAAATTAATCAGGTTATGGGATAGGCTAGACAATCAACAGGAGAGCACATGGCACAAGGAAACATGACTTGAACACAAGCACATGGCCAGTAAACCAATCAGCCATGTGCTCACACAAAATGAGTCAAAAAATACAAAACTGGTGTGCAGATCCCAAACACCCAAATTGGGCTCAGGTGCAGGACAACTAAACAAAGTCAACAAAATAAAGAAGTGTGAAGTCCACACACTGATAAGTCAAACCACGAACGTCGTGCTGAGTGATCTGAACTGTACAAAGTTCAGCGAACTTCTGAACTGTATGAACGGCGTTCGGGGATCGACTTATCGAGACTATTTTTTAAGATGGCTCCTGTCTGTATATGCAAAGTGGACTGTCTTCATAAAGTATCTTCTTATTAAACAGTCTGTACACTTACAAAGTTCTCAATGCTTCGTTTTGCATGGACCCTCATTATGTTACTGTGTTAGTGTGGGGCTATTTTGAGCCTTGTTAGTGGTATAAACCAGCGATTTCTTATTACTTAGTAAATGCCCCCATCACTAGCGTTATACACTAAACAGTTTTTAGAGATAAATCTCTTTACATTTGATTATCATGAAAACAAAACTCAGAGAATGATTGACTAGGTACCAATGTTTTATTAGACCAAAGGTTCATTGTTTGCCTGAGTTCTCCTTTAAGACAGAATAAAATGAATGCGCTATATGCACGCATTAGTTCCGCATTTGACGCAAGGATGCTCGTCCATTTCCGGTTGTGGAGATTTAAGCGGAGGAGAACCGAGGAAAACGGGATATGGCAGAGTCTTCAAAATTTACTGTCCTCCCGTCATTGAAACGAAACGTACATACGTTTAGATGTAATTTTATATATAGTTATGTTTACTTAATATAATTTTAAAAAGAAGCATAAACACAACAAGGGGTGTCTGTTTTATCTGTTTTTGTGACTAACGTTTCTTTATTATAACCATGGAGTATAAAATTCAATATAAATTCTCGGTATTGCATTAGACTCTACGATCGGCGGAAGTTATTGAGCATCCTTAATCCTTCACCGGAAATACCGCCGTGCATAGAGCCCATTCATAGAATGAATTAGAAACACACATTAGGAATTCTTAAACGGGCTCCATTCACAAAAAAAAACAAAAACAACAACAAAAAAAAAACATTGGATGTTTTTTTTAAAGCTTATACAAAAAAAAAGAGACTAATATTTGTAATTTAACATTTTTTAAATGTTTAATGTGGGAAATATCCCTTATGACTATTATTTAACAACTATAAATATTTAAAATCTTTTACAAAATAAATATTGAGTTAATTAACATTTAAATTTCTACAGGCTTGTCGTATCTCATTCTCCAATATTTGGAATTTATTTCATGTGAACAAAAGTGTACAAATCAAACAATCACATCCTGTTTCATTCTCGTGACTTTAAGTACACATTATGTGACATTAGGTAAAGTATAAAAGCAGGGCTCATTTTTGGAACTTCACAAAAACTTCTTCTGAGATTCTAAACTTTAAAATCTAAAGGTGAGTTTTTGGAACAGAAATCTACTGAATAACATTTTTAAAGTATCTTTGTCTTTAAAATGCATTGAGAACCCAAAGTGCAGCATATGAGTATAGACATTTAACTTTACTTTTTCATTTTTAGGTTCATTTCAGGTTCATGATGGCAATGCTGAGAAGTCTAATTCTTCTTTTCGTTATCTTCTCCATAGGAAATGCAGATGGTAACCTTTACAACCTTAAACATTTAATTGTAAAACCCTTAGCTAATAGAGGATTTCGGAAATGTATTCCATTTAATGTTTGCATGATTAATGAGGGATTTACAGTGTCAAAGTACACTTAATTTTGGCACATAATCACACAAACATGAACCAAGCTACATAAAATAACAAATAAATAAAATACATTCTTTGCTGTGAGTATTACAAAAGCCCTATAACATTTATTTACTGGATGCACAGTTCATTTAGTTGAAAAATGCCCCACTGGATGGACAAATTTTGGACTCCGGTGCTACAAGTTCTTCTCTCAGACGGTTAACTGGATCACAGCAGAGGTAATGTATTAGACAATGTGATTTGGACAACACTTTATTTTAGGTGTCTTTAGCCTAAATCTAACATAAATAAATAGTTTGTCACAATCTATATGTGTTGACGTAAAGCACTTTTGCTTCTATTGAGGTGGGATATGGGGAAGGTTAGGGACGGGTTTGATATGGTTAGGTTTAAGGGTGGGTTGAGGTGTAAGGGACGGGTCAACGGTGTTACACAATCTAATTACAGAAATGAATTACAGCTGAATTAATTGTATGCAGTTTTTTTTAGAAATGAATAAAAACATGTACACAATAAGTGCACTGAATCAAATTATTAATTTAAACTTATAAAGTGGGAATGGTGATTTTTATTTTTTAGTAAAACGTTCTTTTATGCAAGTAAATAAAACAGAAACCTACTGAGCAAATAATAAATCAGAGCATTGTTTGCAAATGAAATTGACATTAAATGAAAAATGAAAAAATGAAATTAAAATGGTGTTTAAAATGTCACTTATGTTTTCTGCTAAAAAGATTGGATTTTGTATTGACAAAAAAATCTGTCTCTTCAGAAAGCCTGTCAAAATCTTGGTGCGAATCTCGCATCTGTGGATAGTAAACCGACAAATGATTTCCTAATGAGTTTGTTGCCTTCTCCTTCTACATTATGTTGGATTGGTGGTCATGATGGTGTACAAGTAAGTTGAATTGTTTCTAATGAAGACAATTTAAAAAAAAATTAATTATTAGTTTTTATTTTATTTTGTCATTACAACTTAATTAGCTTCACTTTGAAATTATTTTTTGATATGTTTTAGCTTACTTCGAGGGCATCCAAGATGTACTGTAGGTTTCTTTGTTTCCACAGTATTTTCAATTTTGATTGAAACTGTTTTTGTCTGTCAGTCATATATAATAGAGACCTATGGGGTCCATCTTAAAGAGCATGCACAGAGAAGTCCAGTTGAAACATGATTTAATAACACATTGATGGCCTAAGACATGAAACGAGCGGTTTGTGCGAGAAAACTAACAGTATTTATGTCGTTTTTATAGTATTTATATTACCTCTGTGCCCGCGTGCCCGCGCCCTCAGATCACTTGGACGTGGCAGAACACTGTAATCAGTGTTCTGATTACAAGAGGTAAAAACGATATAAATACTGTTCGTTTTCTCACACAAACTGCTCGTTTCGTGTCTTAGGCCATGTGTACTTACATTTATGAGTCATTAAATCATGTTTAAACTGGACTTCTCTGTGCATGCTCTTTAAGGTGGACCCCTTAGGTCTCCATTAAATATGACTGACAGACAAAAACAGTTTGACCTAAAAATATATAAAAATTTAAAATACTGTGGAAACAAAGACACCTACATCTTGGATGCCCTTGAGGTAAGCTAAAACATATCAAAAATTAATTTCAAAGTGAACTATCCCTTTAAAGGGTTAGTTCACCCAAAAATGAAAATTAAGTCATTAATTATGAAAATTGAGTCATTAATGAAGACGAACGAAGGTCTTACGGGGTTGGTACAGAACACAAATGAAGATATTTTTGATTAAATTTGAGAGCTGGATCACTGCTACATAGGCTGCCTAAGGGATCGAAACTTGACGGCCCAGAAAGTTATTGAAGAAAATGTTTAAATATTCCATGTGACTGCAGTGGCTCAAATATAAGTTTATCAAGCGATGAGAATAATTTTTGTGCGGAAAAAAAAACGACTTTATTCGACTATTCCTTTTCTTCCTTGTTGGCCTGAGACAAGAGTTCAAGAGATTTCCACGACACATGAATTGCGATCTCCTTCAACTACTTCAGTTCTCGCACATGTGTCGTGGAAATCTCTTGAACTCTCATCTCAGGCCTACAAGGAAGTAATAAAGACAAATAAAGTCATAATTTTTTTTTTTTTTTTGCACAAAAAATATATACTCGTCGCTTGATAAACTTATATTTGAGCCACTGTGACATGGAATATTTAAATATTTTCTTCATTGACTTTCTGGGCCGTCAAGTTTCGATCCTTTTGGGTGCTTATGTAGCAGTGATCCACCTCTCAAATTTACTGTAATCAAAAATATCTGCATTTGTGTTCCGAAGATGAATGAAGGTCTTACGGGTACAGCATGGGGGTGAGTAATAATGACTTAATTTTCCTTTTTGGGTGAACTATCCCTTTAAATCTGACAGTAGTGCACTTATGTATTTATTCTTTACTCTCATTAGGAAGGACAGTGGTTGTGGAGTGATGGAACTGTGTTTACTGGCTATAACAACTGGTGCTCTGCAGAACCTAACAATGCTGGTATCGAGAACTGTTTGGAGATCAACTGGACCTGTGAGAAATCACTGTTTTTTCAATTATACTTTACAAAATTTTAATTTCATATCATACGGTAACATGAAATTACTCTTTGGATTTCACCTTAAATTTAACTTTTTTATTCTAACACGATAATGATCAGAATAACTTCCTATTTCATTTTTCCACCCCACAGCTAACCGTTGCTGGAACGATCAGCCCTGTTCAGTCACAAGGGGCTTTGTTTGTGTTGTGGATGTGTGAGACCTTTGATTGTACTACCTTTGACTTTTTGCCATCTCATCTTTACAAAAATGTTATTCTGAAATGAAATCTCTTCAAAATTGTATTCTATTCTCAATATTTTTCTGAAACACTCTTCAAATTAATAAAAGCATTCATAAAGCAAATAATGTGCATTGTGGACAATCATATGTGTGTATATAAAAGTATATATATATTAGTATATTGCAGGTTTGAAGATAAGGTTAGTAGAATGGCATTATGTGTCATCATCAGGGTAGGGGTTAAACCAAGCTGCACACATGCTTCTTCATTGACAAACACTAGATGACATTTGTTTCAGACAATTGATTGCAAGCAAATTTGGACTTCATTCAGGGCTCTTTTTGTCTTGTAAAACATCCCATTAATATTTAGATGAGAAACCTCTGATAACTGAATCACAAACAATTTCAGACCATTTTCTAAACCTGTTTGACTGATTAGATCAATTGTGACTCATTTGCTGGTCTGGCATTGCTAGTTCTGATTCTAAACAGCTGATAGAAAACACAGAATTATTCTCGGGTCAGAATAAATTAATCTCCAACATCAGAGAAGGATTTATCTGTCATATTTTACTGGGGGACCACATAGTGTAGCTGTAACCGAAGTCCAGTAAAGGCAAGTTGCAGTAAGAACCCATGTGCACTTTATTAATAAAACTAAGGTGAATAAGCAAGACAATGACCAAAGTAAACTTGACTGGCACAGATATAAATATAAGTATGAATTTGACTAGACCTGACGTGAGAACACTCACTAACAGTGGGTTACATCATCAATTCACCACAAAGAACAATGGGAACAAGAGGGCTATATTTACGCATGGACTAATCACTAAACAAGGAACACCTGAGAAAAATCAATCAATGAATCAATGAAAAATCAGGACATGACAAGAACAAATGAGAATATGACACATAAGACTATAGGGAAGCACAAGACATGGTCACATGACTAGGAAACAGGAACCAAACTACAAAATAAAAGACTGGAAACATGACCATGAAACAAAACCAAAAACCAACTGTTACAGTAGGCCTGTACTGTTACAGGAAGGTTGACACGCAGGTTAAATAACGAGTGGTGGGCGCAGATCGCGGCTTTGTGATACAATAAAACAGTTGAAGCAAATGTGCCATATTGTGTCAAGGTTTCAACAATTTATTATTACAATTTTATTACAGGTTTATTACAATTCCGTAATCAGTTAAAGATAATCAATGCAAACCATCAAATGTTCTAGAACAAATAACTTTACCCAACATATTAACTACATGAATGCTGAGCCTGGAAGACACAGCATCTTGGGCTGATCTGAATACGATACAGCGCAGAATTCTCCGTTGCATTTCCCTTATAGGCTATAGCAAGACCTCATTTCATAGGCAAGTTCCAGTGGAAATTTACTGGTAGATAACCATTTGCTTAGTTGTAAATTGCATTCAGACAAAAGGCCAGAAGGTGTTAACTCAAAGACACACCCTTCTGTGTGCAAGATATTTCTATATTCTTAAAAACCTTATTACCTTTCTTTTTTTTTTACTTCTTTGGAAGACATTATTACATGTCGCCCTGAGACTTTCAAAATGATACTAAACAATCCTTAAAGATTATCACATTCACATTAAAATGATATATTCCTGTGTGTGTGTATGATCTCTGCAAGAGTGTGTGTATGTGTGTGTGTGAGTTGTTCACATATTAATTTGAAAGCAAGGTCCTTTTGTCTTCAGAGAAAACTGGTCAGATTGATTCCATCAACCAGTTCCAGTTTTCCTGTCTTACAGATCCCTTCTCAACCCCATGGGTCAGTTTCAGACACTTAAGGGGTCACAGGAAGATGTTTGTCGTAATCCTAGGTGTAATTCGACAATTGTCTTTGCAATGTTATAACATCTGTAGAAACTCAGAGGGCTTTGTTCACCTGCAGAACACCTGTTCCTCATCAGGCGTATGTAGCTTGAGTCCAGCAGGTGGATGAGGCGTTTAGGCTTTCTTCTGGTGATGTGAGAAAAGTTCATAGAGTCAATCTGGACCTTTTGACTAGTTCAGTTGGCATGTCGTTCCTTCATGAAGAAACTCACGTTTCCCTGGCACCTTCCCCATAACGATAATCTGCCCCTTCTTGACCAATCCGGTCACATCCAGTGGTGCGGTTGTCTGGACATACCTCAGTGGGTGGATGGGCTCTCTGTGAGATGTTTGAAAAGCATCTTAAATGTCCACTTCACAATTGAAACACATACAGTAGCCTATGAATAACTGACAAGTTCCAGTTCTAAACTGGGAGGCCATGCTAATGTAGTTATGTGCTGTTGTGAGATGTAAATGGCCTCTTGAATTGTCTTTTCACCCATCTCCCGAATCTCAGGTTATGTTCTAACAATCGTGAAGACCGGTCGACCTGGCGTCCATCCTCCAAACCTGACAGAAAACAAATGCAGAGAGAACCACAGTTAATTTTGATGTTTTCAACAGTTTCAAATTCAGACATGTGCAACAAGTCAGGGAGTGGTTTTTTATTTATTTATTTATTTATTTATTTATTTTACAAAGGCAAAGAAAGAATTAAAACCTCTGCCCTTTTGGCACCGGGTAGCAGGTCAATGAAATCGAATTGTAAGGATTTAATGTCACACTTCTCCAATTAATCTGTTTTAATTTTCTGCATGATGGCCCTGTCATCTAACAACCAATCACCATGATCATTGCGAGAAAGCTCGTCATCTAGAATTGACGTCATCCATAGCAACGAAGACTCACTCTTAGTTTAGGAGTTGTCATTTTTCCTTACTAAAAGTAGGTCTGAAAGGCATTTTGAATAACTTTTAAGAGAAAACTCTTAGCTAAAATATTTTAGTGCGATTTAGGAGTACTCATAGTGGCAAGATAAAATTCTATTGTGAATATGGCCCTTGGTCTCTAAAGAGTTTCTGCTCATTCTTGTGTCAATATATTTGAGGGAAAAATGTGACAGATTCAATGAATTTAGATGTTAAAACTGTTGCAGAGGGACTATTGGCTATGTAGGCCGGGGTGGAACCCGGAACCTTTGTTTTGTAATTGTGTTTCACGCGGGTCCTAGTTAAGTGGGGGGGCTCCCCGGATGTTTTGGTTGTGGCCGTTTTTGCAAGCCGCTTTTCTGTACCGTCTGCTGAGTTTATTAAAAAGGCTAAACAGCAACGTCTGCGTGCATCTTTATCTGCTCGGGTTACCACACTGGCGACGAGGATTAAAACCGATATTAACCAAACCAAGGTCCCAGTAAGTCAGCCGGTTCGGCGGCAAAGAAGTTGGCGCATAATTAAACAAAAACTATGACGGCTACGGTCGGCTCGCTCAGTGAGTTCTCTGAGAAGGACGGCGACTGGGTGGAATATGTCGAGAGACTGGAGCACTTTTTCCTGGCTAATGACATTGTGGATGGGGAGAAGCAACGATCAATTCTTCTGAGTGTGTGCGGGGCTAAAACGTACAGACTGATCCGAAATCTGGCAACGCCGCAGAAACCGGGAGAGATCGGGTTTAAGGAAATTGTGGAGATGGTGCAAAATCACCTCAATCCCAAGCCCTCGGTGATTGTGCAGCGTTTCAAGTTTCACACGCATTCACGCAAGCCAGGAGTGACAGTGGCGGAGTTCGTGGCGGATCTGAGACGGCTATCCGAGCACTGTGAGTTCAGGGCGGTGCTGGAGGACATGTTGCGGGACAGGTTAGTCTGTGGGATTAACGATGATGTCATACAGCGCCGCTTATTGGGTGAAGCCACACTGACTTTCAAAAAGGCTTTAGATATTGCCCTAGCAATGGAAACGGCGGCAAACAACGCGATTGACATAAAAAATGCAGGCGGAGGGACGCTATCAGATACTGCACATTTTGTAGCAAAAGAAGGCAAAAGTGTTTCAGGAAAACTCACGGAGTGTTATCGTTGTGGGGGTCCACATTTTGCAAATGACTGTGGCTTTAAAGACGCCGTTTGCCATAATTGCCAGAAAAGAGGGCATATTGCAAAAAAGTGCAGGGGTGCTAAAACTAAGCAGACAAAAGGATGGGGAAAAGCATCTAAGCCCAACACACATCACCTGCAGAGTGAGGATTTGGAGGAGCAGTGCTCATTCAACATGTTTAATATCCGTGACCAGCCCCGGGCTCAGCCCATATACGCAACAATTACAGTAAATGGCAAAGAGCTGAACATGGAAGTGGACACGGGGGCCTCAGCTTCAGTAATCAGTCAAACCACGTTCAACAGGTTGTGGAGCTCAGGGGGTGCACCAGCAATGGAAGAGACGAGTGTTAGGCTCAGAACGTATACGGGTGAGTGCATTCCACTCGCGGGGGCAATCAAGGTGGACATTGTGTATCAGGAACAGCAGGCTGCGGCGACACTGCTGGTGGTTGAGGGGGAGGGACCGAGCTTGTTGGGGCGGGATCTCCTCCAGAAAATTCACCTGAATTGGGGACAGATCTGGGGTGAAATCAAACATACCACTGTGGTACAAGACATCATAGGGAAGTATGCGGATGTTTTTAAAGATGAACTGGGTACCCTCAGAGGGACCACAGTTAAACTGTGTGTTGACCCCAAAGCACAACCTCGTTTCTTCAAACCGCGAACGGTACCATATGCCATGAAAGCAAAGGTGGAGGCGGAGTTAGAAAGGCTACAAAGGGCAGGGGTGATCGAGCCCGTGGAGTTTTCTGACTGGGCAGCCCCAATAGTGCCAGTGGTGATGGAGGATGGGGAAGTGCGCATATGTGGGGATTACAAAATGACCATTAATCAGGCCTCACAACTCGACACATACCCCCTACCGCGAGTGGAGGACCTATTTGCGACACTCGCAGGTGGAAAAACATTCACTAAACTAGACATGAGTCACGCATATCAGCAACTTTTACTGGATGAAGACTCTAAACAATATGTGACCATAAACACTCACAAGGGCCTATTCAAATATAACCGTCTAGTGTTT